ATTCAGCGTCGTCGAATTACCATTGTATCAATTTGTAATCGTTTAAATCGAAAAAGTTCTTATTTGCCTCTTATTGACTGGCCTACTGGTTCACAACTAAATTCAACTCACACAGAACTATTAGATTTCTTCAACTCGTTCTTTACCGATGAGTTTATAAGAAAAATAGTTGAGGAGACTAATCGGTACGCAAATCATATGATACAAGAAAAACATCTAGAAAAGCAGTCCACATGGCATAAATGGACTAATGTCACATCAAAAGAAATGCGAGCATTTCTCGGCATAATATTGCTTATAGGGACAATGCCACTTCTGAGCTTGAAAGAATATTGGACTACTGACAAGAAATGTAGGATCCTATACGTTGCCAAAATATTCAGGAGAGACCGACTCTTACAAGTATTTTGGATGCTGCATACAAATTAACATATTGTAGGTACGCGAAACATGGCAACAAGAACGAAAAAATTAGCAATTTTTTAGATTACATTGATAGTAAATATCGTGAAAATTTTGTACCCAGGATGGAGTTATCAGCGGATGAATCAATCATTAAATTCAAAGGGCGAGTAAGCTTTATTACGTATAATTCACAGAAACCAACCAAGTGGGATATCCGTATATATTGGTTATATACAAACTATTTTTCCATATTATGGCAGTTTTACTACGGAGAAATTAATTAGACCAGATCTGCCAATAAGCACGAGAATAGTCTTATAACTATATCTCAATTAATTGCAATCCAATCCTGACGCTGTAGGATACCATATCTTCAATGACCGGTACTTCACAAGCATTCCTTTGGCAGATGAACTACTAAAAATGAAATGTAATCTAACTGGAACTATTCAGACGAACAGGAAATTTATTCCACGTGAAATAAAAAATCCAAAGATTGCAAAAAATGAAATTGTTGCATATAGACGGAGCAGTTTACTATTATTGGCTTGGAGAGACAAGCGTATTGTGACAATGCTCAGCATCTGTGCTACCTCATCTTCGACAACCGTTACTAAAAGGTCACGCAAAGAAGGAAGAACACATATTGTGAAGCCAGACGTGGTTGTAAATTATAATAAATATATAAGTGGGGTAAACAAAGCAGATTAGTACACAGGCACATATTGATTCATGAAAAAATCTCAAAAATGGTGGCGAAAATTATTTTTTTTGGGTTTGGAAGTTTCAGTGATAAATTCCTATCTATTATATCAAGAATATCACAAGACATACAATATAAAAAAGTTATCCCATTTACAATTTGTACGTCACTTAGCAGATCAATTGATTGGAGATTTTCGAGACGCTAATCCCAAGGCTCCTGCGACTTTTGGAACAGCAAAAAGGCTCAACGGCCTTCTACATATTATTAGGCGAGATGAGACAGGAAGAAGTAGGGATTGCCTCGTCTGCTCTAATCGAAAAATAAAACATGGAAGGAGATTGTACAACTTGTTCGGCTAAGCCGGCCTTGCACATAGGTGATTGTTTCGAACTATATCACACAAAGCAAGAATATAAAACATCTCCTATGTAAAGACGACTAAATTTGTTTCTTTATAATTTTATTGGATTTTATAAATATGTCATTTGAATAAAGCTTTAGATTTTATAACGCAAACGTGCGACGTGAACATTTTCTTTACTGCGTGCTCCTGTCGTCCATAGCGACGCTTGCCTGTCGAGCGCCCCTGTCCGCAATGGGTTAAGTTAATAGTGGATAACCGTGATTGTTCTTTTGCACGATTATTGCGATTATTTAATACAATATCATTGAATGTAATAGACACTTTCCGATCGATTTTACATCGATTTTTATTAGGGCTAGTTTAAATAGTTTCCGAAATTTTATATATAATATAAAAAAAATATCAAATAATATCAACCACATTTAAAATAGATTTCAGTTAATTTATGTATCTATTTTTTTTCGACTTATCGGAGTTTTTTATTTTTTGTATAGAAAAAAGAAATATTAAAAARTAAGAGGATTAGCGCTGAAAATATCGATTTCGGGTTAATTTTATTATAATCGTAAGAATCGATTTTTACATCAACTCGTTTGGAAAGTCACCAAGTAGGAAGATAACACGAAGGGTGCTTCCTGAGCCGACCTGATTACGCGCTTGTTAGCACAGATATCGCACCAATTTGCGACGTTCCCAGTTCCCTCGTCTCAACTTTCAGTCCTGCGCGACAGAGGCCATGAACAAGAGGAAGGAATGCGAGGAGGAGAAAGGCAGCTTGAGAAAGCTCTGTAAAAGCCATACTTCGAACCCTTACTGGCACACCCTCAACGATCGTAGTAGCTCAGCACCTTCAGCGATTCTTGCAATTTAGCGGAGACCTTAACGTTTATTATTTTAGGGTGTGAAAAAAAAACAAAATGTCAACATTTTTGTTGACTCCTTGATCAAATGAATTCGTTTGGACAACTTATTAGCATAATAAGACTATTCGTCTTCCTTAATAGTTTCTCAAAGGTGTTGCATTCTCAAAATACGAATCTTTAGATCAAAGACAATTCTGCAAACGAAATAGCCTGATTTTTATTCGAAACGAGGGAAAGGAAAGGCTACTTGAGCTGCTTGTTTAGCAGCCACAAGAGCAGCCACTCTAAACCGCTTTTTGCCAGAGTGAAAGGTCGCCTCCGTCATCTCCACCACCTCCGACGTTGCACTTGTTGCGCTTTTAAATCTAGGCACTGCAATTTGATATATGTGTTAGTTAGAATTGACTATTAAATACTTCAACTAATAGAAGTACTAAAATATTCATTAAAACCACAATTTGGAAAATTTAGATTTCTGAAACTACGTAAGAGTTTACAGCTATTAAATTAAAATTAAAGAAAGAAATTAAGAGACTTTAAAGTCTTATTATTTAATATATTTAATATAAATAATTTCAATGTGAAAGAAAAGAATCAGAAATTTTTTTAGGGACCAGATAATTAGGGTTTCTATACTGTAATGTAAATTTCAGGTTAAGCTGGAGCTACCTTGTAACCTAAATTTCAGGTATTAATCAAGCTTATATCAAAAAAAAATCAAGAATATTACTAGAGTAAAAGAAATAGTTAAGAGAGAGAGAGAGAGAGAGAGAGATCTCTGCAAGATAGTGTAATTTTAAAGTTATTTGCTTATTTTTCAATATCTTTTAGGTTACAAGTTAATATCAAAAAATTGAGATAAAAGTAACAATTTTACTTATATTTTAATAATTTTACTAATATAATACAATTATATTAGTATAAATAATATTATAATTCACCTGTAATTATAATATTAAATATTTTTTTGAAAAATGAATTATATAAATCAAATAATTACTAACACTCGAAGAACAATGTTCCTTCTTTTTCATATAGTAGAAGTTAAAGCAAAGTAAGCATATAATTATGTAATATAAATTATTAAGAATAATTATACAAAGGAAGCATTAAATCGTCTATATAATGTAACAGGAGAAGCGTATTATAATTTCGTTTAAAATATATATACTTGCATACGTGTTACGCGAAAATGTTACTCGGTCGATTAACTAGACAACTAACGACTGAATAAATGTGAACACCACTGAGACCACGAAAATGAATAAGACAAGAACGAATTCGCAGGTGTTCTCTATATGCTAGCTCGTATATATGAACAAAGAGAACGTAGAGTAAACTAACACGTGGTTCAATACTTGTTGAATTCTCTGCACTGTTGAATGAAATTCTCGTACATCACTCAGRTAGCACATACTATAATACATAGAACGTTTTAGTGGTAAATGAATAGTATATTCGACACTAACTATTATAAATACATAATTTATATAGGACGAACAAATGCACAAACACATCTTGCTGTTACAGTTTTCCCATCTCGGAAATATTTTTTTGCGTCATTTGTAGGAAAAATAGTATATGAAGTGTATGAAATGTATGTTCATTTTTGCCGTTGAGCAACACTTCACGTGTGACACCAATGTGGTGTCGCCAGACGTCATAGTGTTAATACCTAGCTGGTCCCAAGCCCAGACAAAAGAGGAGGGTTCGAGGGTGAGGCTAGCAACCTACCCTCGGTAAAAACAATAAAGCGCTCCCAAAAATAGCAATAAAAGCTATAACAAGACGAAGTCCTATTAAAAAGAAGAAGAAGAAAAAGAAGAAGAAGAAAAAGAAGAAGAAGAATAATAGTAAGTAATACAATATCCAAATATCAGTTTTGGTGAAATGCTTTTGAATTTGGTTTAAATTTTGTACCTTTACTACCACCTGAGTAATAGGAATCGCCGAGCATAGTTAGTTTCCCTCTAATGTATAGTAGGTATGCGAGATTGACTGGACATAGTTTGGACTTTGATAAAATATGTTTTGCTTACTTTCCATGGACTCTTAAGCTATTACTATAATCTTTCCTATTTTCTTTTACAATATGTTTTCTCTCTAATTTCATTTCCTAACCTAACAACGCTATATCTGCTCAGCACAAAGTTATCTTAAAGAGCTCTAAAAGATAACATTTTTTTCATCTGACATCCGAAAAAACTGGTTAGAAAGATAACATAAAGTTAACATAAAGATTTCTTATGTGCCGTTTTCTGACATCGGTAAGAGCTCTAAAACTTGATATCCAAAAGTTAACATTAATAAGATGGAATTTTGAAAAGTAGTAATTTAAAGCCCAAAGTAAGTTTAAATTTAAAATAAACATAAATAATACTGATATATATATATA